TGCTGTTGAACACAGCCGCCACGGCGGGCTGCGGGCCGGCGCGCGCCAAGTGGTGCCGCGACGCGATCGCGGCGCGGCTGCCCTCGCTGCTGCTGCGCGCGGCCGCTCAGCTGTCGGCTCAGCAGGACGAACCCGTCAGCGCTGCCAAGGCAGCCATCGCTGCGTGCTTGATGGCGTACACAGAAGACACCGCGGATTCCGCAGCCAGGCAGAGCACCGGGCGAGACAGGACGCCGCCACAGAGCTCGGATCCACTTTCAGGGATCAGGGCCAAAGCAATGGACGCGGTGGTGGCGTGCGTCGGCGGTGGCTGCCCGGGAGCTGCGGCGGTGGCAGTGGGGTGCGCCCTGCGCGCTTGCGGTCTCCCAGCTGGCCGCCCGTTCGCAGCCGACCTGGCCGCGAGTCCCCGGGGCGCGACCGCCGTGGTGGGCGCGCTCCTGCGCTGCGCGGCTGCGGCCCGGGCGGCCGGCCCCGAGGACAGTCGCGACGGCCTGCGTATGGCGAACGCCGCAGTACTGGCCGGGCTGCTGCTGACGAGGATTTCTGCGGACGCCTGCGAGGACGATGCTGAGGCTGACGACGCGGCAGAGCGGCAGTGTCAATATTTGGAGGAGACTGTTGGACCCAAACTCAACGACAACATTGAGAAGGCGCATGCGGCGGCCGAGGCTGGGCTGCTGCGGCTGGGTGCAGCCGGGGGACGAGGGGGCGCGCTGGCAGCGGACGCCGCAGCTGCCCTGGGCTTCCTGCGGCGCCGCGAGGCGCCACCGCCGCTGCCGGGGCCGGGGGCCCTGCCGCGGGCCCCGGGTCGGCGCTGCCTGGCGTGCGGCAAGGGGCGTGGTGACGGGGTGGCGCTCAGGCGCTGCAACGGCTGCAGGGCGGAGGGCGTGTTCTACTGCTCGGTGGAGTGGTGAGCCTGGGACATTGGAGCCGACGCGCCGCCACTCCCTGGGAGGGAATCCAATAGAAACGAGGTCACTGACAACACAAGACAGGGCATCACAAGTAGTGTTGCAGGTGCCAGGGTTAGGAAATTGGGGATGAGCGATGCCGGCACAGTGAGGAGCGAGTGAGACTGGGGCTCAAGCCAGCCGCACCCCAATCATCACGCCTTCCCTCTCACCACCCCTCGCCCCGCAACCGCGCGCGTGTGCCTGCGTGTGCCTGCGTGTGCCCCGCGCCCCGCAGTCAGCGCAGCCACTGGCAGGCCCACAAGGCAGACTGCCGCGCGGCGAGGGGCGGCGCGTGACAGGGAAGTCGCGGAGGCGGAGTGTCGGCTGGAGGGGGGCACCCCATCATGGGGTGTGGCCATGTTGGCCACAGTGCACCAGGAGTTGGAGTTGGACAGGCACTGCAATACGTGGTGTGTGGTTACGGCGGGCGAGTAGTCGTGGCTTTTGAAATTGCTTTAGGTGTAGTTTGGGGTCAGGCGCTGGCAGCGGCGCTGCCTGCCCTGCGGGTGGGCTGTCGTGAGAAGTGACCGTCGACTGGCGTTTGCAACCGTCTGAATGATCCGTTGCATAGAGTAAATAGGCAGTTGCAGGCTTGTGAGAGCACATATTGTCTGTGGTCCGATCAAGTAACCTTTGATGACGGCTTGCTTTTTATTGTGGCTTGCGGCGCAGCCCAGAAAGCAATACCCAGGGAAGCCATTAGCAACTGCTTGCTTTCGGTTTTCACCGCAGTCAGCCGCACCGTTTCTAGCGTTGCTCGTCTAGAAACAAGACCACTTACCTGAAAAACAAGGCCTTATCTCGTCAGATCACTTTTGTCGAGGATTTACCGGTACTCGTAGGCGCTGACAGATATGAACGCATCTGATTTCGTCATCGTGGATGTTCGTGTAGATCGCGGTGGCACACCTCCTCCAGAGCCCCTGGATGCGGACGTGGCTGTCCTGGCGAGCAACCTGGAGCGCTGCGCGGCGACCAGCGACATGCACGCGGCACGCCAAGCCCTTGAGGTCTTTGTGGAGCGCTCCGTGACGCGGCGGCTCGCAAACGCACCGATGCTGTTGCGAGCCAGCATGCAGGCGCTGGCCACGCAGCTGGACGGCAGCTGCGGTTTCGCAGCCTGCTCGGCACTCGGCTGGCTTCACGCCCTCATGTGAGCGAAGCACACAGCCGGCTCGCAGCCTCTTACCTGATATAGTGAGGGCAGCTGCCTTAATCAATGCAAGCACAATGTTATAAGTCTGAACCTGACTATAGCAGCTGCCGCACAAGCAATGTACGGCTCCGTCCGCCGAACTTGCCAAGTCGACAAGTGCACAACCTCCTTGCTCGTGCCGTGCGCTGCGCGCCGCCAGGCAACCGCAACACATCGAAGACGGGAGGTGCTTGTACAAGGCCCTGGCACGACCCGCCCCCATGGCCGCCCTCATGCGGCTGCTGGTTGAGGCAACAGGGCCGCGCGGGGACGGCCGGGGCGGTGGCGGCGCCAGCGGCTGCGGCTCTGAGCCGCTCTGGCTGGCAGCTGCGACGGAGGGGGACCGCAGGCAGATGGCGCTGTGGGCCGCCACACTGGCCGACTGCGCTATGAGGCTGGCCAGCAGTCTTGCCTGCGACGAAGGGCTGCGCGTCGGCGCAGGCGGACGGCGTGATTGGCGCGCGGCGGGCGCGCTTGCAGATGCTGTATGTGGGACGCCCGGCGCGTTGGCGGCGTTGGTGGCCGCCGCCGGGCTGGTCGAGTCGCTGCGGCAGCCGGACAGCTCAGTGCATTCGCTGTTTTGGTGGCTGACACGCGCTTGGGATCAGAGGGGACCGACACGGGTCTTTGGAGAGACAATGGCTGCGGCCGCGACGCAGCTGGAGCCGTGTGCGACTGAAGCGGCCGCGCTAGCCTGCCGGGCCCTGCGTGCTGAGCTGGCCAGCGGTCCCAACAGCTGGCCCCGACCCCTGGGGCTGCTGCAGCTTCTCAGTTACAGCGCCGCCGGCGCGGATGCGCTTCTGCGGCTGCCGCCAGGCGAGGGGCTTGGGACATTCGTACCCTTGCTTGTGCCTTGGGAGCGCGGCGACCGTCGCAGCGGCGGGGGCCACGGCGGCAGCAGCAGTGCCGGGGGGAGTGCAGCGGCTCCTGCCCTGCAGGGAGCGTCAGCCGATGCAACAAGAGAGGCAGAGCTCCGCTACACTGTCGTTGCGGAGGTGATTACGATCATCCGCACTGTGTTCAAGAACACGGCGCCCCTTGGACAGCAGGGCCAGCAGCCGGGCGGCGCCGGCACTGTGCCGCCCAGCAGGACCCACCAGAGCGCGTCCAGCGGGGGCGCTGGCCCCAGGCGCGTGTCTGCCGCCGCAGCGGCGCTCACCGGGTCGCTGCTTGAGATCGCGGCCGGGCGGGGTGCAGCGGCGGGGTTGCGTGGCAAGCCCAGGTGGTCGGTGGCGTGTCTGGCTTTGCAGGCCTTGGAGCAGAGCATAAGGGCGGTTGCTGCAGCCGAAGTCGCAGGCGGCGCTGGTGGGCCAGCTGCTGGTGCAGGCGCGGAAGGAGGCGAACTGCGGGCCCTCTTCTCGCACCCCGGGTCAGCGGTGGCGCTCGCCGCCGCGCTGCGAGGCGGCCTCGAGGCCGCCGCCCGCAGCGGCAGCGGCGACAAGGGCGGCAGCCCCGTCGCTGCGGCCGCCCAGCTGTGTTTTGTCGCCACCATGGGGCCCCCATGTCAAGCACGCTCCTGCTGGTACCGCGAGGCACTTGCAAGGGGGCTGCCCTCGCTGCTGCTGCGCGCGGCCGTGCAGGTCTCCAGCCAGCAGGACGACCCCGCCAAAGCCGCCAGGGCTGCCAGCGCCGCGTGCCTGATGGCGTACATGGCCGACGACGAGAGTTCGGCTGTTTGTACACAGGATCAAAGGGGTGATCAGGAGCCAGGCGGCGAGCCCGAGTCAGGAATCAGGGCCCGGGCGCTGGGAATGCTGGTGGCGTGCGCCGGCGGCAGCTGCCCGGAAGCTGCACTGGAGGCAGTGTCCGGCGCCCTGCGCGCCTGCGGTTCTTTGAGCTGCGCTGCGGCCGACCTGGTTGCGCATCCTGGGGCCGCGACCGCCCTCGTGGGCGCACTCCTGCGCTGCGCGGCTGCGGCACAGGTGACTGGCCCTGGGGGTATCCGCGAAGTCGCCATGGCAGCCGGCGCGAAAATGGCTGCTATGCTGCTGTCACTGGTGGCGCTCGCTGTCGGGGAGCCGCGTGTGGGGGCCGCCGAGGCGGTTGTGCGGCAGCAGCGCCGGGTCGCAGAAGAGGCAGCGCATAGCACGCGCGACGGCATCGAGGCCGTGCTCGCCGAGTCAGAGACCGCGCTGCTGCGGCTGAGTGCAGCCAGCGGCCGTGGGGGCGCGCTGGCAGCGGATGCGGCAGCCGCCCTGGGCTTCCTGCGGCGCCGCGAAGTGCCGCCGCCGCTGCCAGGGCCGGGCCCTCTGGTGCTGGCTGACGGGCGGCGCTGCCTGGCGTGCGGCAAGGCGTGGGGGGACGGGGTGACGCTCAGGCGCTGCAGCGGATGCAGGGCGGAGGGCGCGTTCTACTGCTCTGTGGAGTGGTGAGCCCGGGATGCCGGGTGCGACTTGTCACGACTCACTGAAAGGGAATCACAGCGGAAGCAGGGGAAAGTAGCACCAGAGGATTTGGGATCAAGAAGTTTCGCGGATACAAGGGGGGGAATCAGACTCAAGGTTTTGAGGGCACAGTGAGGGATCTGTGGGCCTGATGCAGCCAAAGCGAGCCGCACTACAACAATCAGAGGGTACGTGCCTTTCATCACGCTCTTGCCTCCTCTCGCACTGCCGACATGATCTGTACGCGCATGCCCCACGCCCCGCAGCCAGCGCAGCCACTGGAGGGCCCACAAGGCAGACTGCCGCGCGGCGAGGGGCGGCGCTTGATCCAAAAGCCGCAGAGGCGGAGGGTGGGCCGGATGGCCGCATCCCGTGGCCAAACAGCAGTGAGAAGAGGGTTGGGGGGGCAACCGTGCAGTACATTGCGTGGTGTGTGATCAAGACGGGCGCGTAGTCGCTGCTTTGAGTGGACTTGGGTCTGATTGAGTGGTAGGCGCTGCCAGACGCGGCGCTGCCTGGCCTGCGCGTGGGTTGGGTTGTCGTGAGACGTGATTGCCGACTGGCGGTTGCCTCCGCTTGAATTTGTTGAACGGAGTAATAAAACAGTTGCAAGCTCAAGAGAGTGCAACGTCTCCTCAATTGGATTCGGCAGTCCTGATATCAGCTGGCTGTGAATGTGGCTTGCGACCCAGAAAGCAACACCCAGGTTTGGCCAGTTGCAAAGGGCTTGCTTTCAGTTGTCACCCAACCCGACCGCACCGTCACCAGCGCTTCTAATTTTTGTGCAGTGGTTTTCATCCAAATTTACAGTAATCAGTGCATGCCATGTGCGTGACAAATTCAACTCTGATTTGCCCACCCGCTTGGACACTGGCCTTACTCACTGGGTTAGTGACGTAGATCTTCTGGAATGCATCCGAGGGTCTACTGCAGCATTAAATGCACCCTTGAACCATGGAATTGTGTTTGTAATCGCGCAGCAGAGTGACCAGATCGCGCACTAGGCAGTCATCACCTCTTGCAGCGGCCTAATCATGCTCGCCCACGGATGGATCGTGGGCGGTGCACTGCTAAAAGGCATTCGCGCCGCGAGATGGCCCGCAACGGTGCTGAGCACGGCACGCGCGCTGTCGAGCAGCAGCTGCAGCAGCTGGCGCGCTGCCGCCGCGCCTTTCGACACAGCGGGCGCCAACAAGGCTGACGCCGCGGCGCGCGAGCGCATGGAGTACGACGTGTGCATTGTAGGGGCCGGCCCCGCGGGCCTGGCGGCCGCCATACGCTTCAAACAGGCGAGCGGGGGTGCAAAGGGCAGCTTTGTGCCTGCAGGGGACCGCCTGGTCGTGCTCTACTCTTTGAGGGGGCAGCTCTTGTGCTGGGCGGTGGCCTCAGAAGCACAAGTCAGCGGCGTCGAGCCGAGGCGCAGAGTGTCTGCATGAGCCTCCGACCATGCAAGCAGGTGCCTTCAGGTGCCTGCAGGCATATGCTGCCCGACTTTGTTGTTGTTTTGTATCGCCCTCAGGTGCCGCACGCCTGCACCGCAGCGCGCACACACACACACACACACACACACACACACGCACACACGCACACACACACGCACACACACACACGCACGCACGCACGCACGCACGCACGCACCCACGCACTCATACAAACATACAGTTGCACCCTCCCTCATCACCGTGCACAGTTGTGCGCTGAGCAGGAGAAGGACTTTAGCGTTTGTGTCATTGAGAAGGTGCGGCCGCGGCGGCTGCGGCGTGCGGCCGCCAGCAGCGACGGTGGGCCGCAGCCGGGCGCTGTGCGATGCATTGCATGCCGACCACAACAGGGCCCTTTCCGCGCTCGTCCTGTACGGCGCCCTACAATCTGCCTTTGCCGCCGCTCTTGTGCTGCCTCAAACAAGCGGCCCAAGCCCGAAACCCACCTCCCGCGGCGCTCCTCAGAGCTGCAGCCCAAACCCACCCCTGACAAGCCCCGCTGCAGTCCCGACCACCCCCTCGCCTCAATGAGTACTCCCTGTGCCTTGAAGGTCCCTTTTTGATGGCCCACAACCGCAGGGCTCCGAGGTGGGTGCCCACATCCTATCCGGCAATGTCTTCCAGCCGACCGCTCTGGACGAGCTCTTCCCAGACTGGCGCGACAAGCGGGGCGAAGGGGAGGAGTTCGAGGGCCTGCCCCTGCGGGTGCAGGCGCGGCGGGACCGGTTCTACGCGCTGCTGCCGAGCGCGGCGCTGCGGCTGCCGACGCCGCGGCAGATGAAGAACAAGGGCAACTATATCATCAGCCTCAGGTGGGGTTTTAAGCCAAGAAGACTGGCCTTTCCTTGGCTCAAAGCCCGCTTTCCCTGGCTGAAAATTTTCAGGAATTTCGAGCCGAGTGTCTTCAAAATCTCGGGTTTTCGAGCGCAGTTGTCTTGACTAAACTTGTTCAGGGAAGTCTTGGGGGGTTTTGAGCCGAGTTTTCTTGGCTCGACATTACCTGGGGGGCTTGCTCTGCTCATCGTTTTGGTGTGAGGCTCCTCACGCCTTTTCCGTGTGCAGGGGCTGCAGTGGGCCCTCTCCAAGCCGCTGCCCGGCCCGCTGCAGACCAGGCCCCGGCCTGTGCGGCGCTCGCAAGGCGCATCCTTGCCGGCCTGCCCACTTGCTGTGCCGGCCCGCCCCCCACAAGCACGCGCCCGCTTGACTGGCTGAGAGGACCGGGCCCCGCGCAGCGCCTCAGGCTGCAGCTGCCCCCATGCCGCCCCTCATGCTGCCCCCTCCTGTGTCGTCAGCGAGCTGGTGCGGTGGCTGGGCAAGAAGGCGGAGGAGCTGGGCGTGGAGGTGTACCCCGGGTTCGCAGGCGCGCGCTGGGGGGATGCTGGGGATCCGCTGGGAATCTGGGGTGACGGGTGACGGGTGACGGGTGACGGGGCAGGGGTGATGGGAACAAAGGGGGTGATGGCTGGGCTGCATGGACATCTGGAGAAACTGGGGGAACACGCCACCAGGCATCTCCCCCGCCAACCATTTCAGATTTCAGGGGTTGAGGGTGGTTCACAGCCCCTGATATTCTCATTCCGAGCAACTGATTGCCTCACCCCGCAAACCCAGTGAGCACAGCCAGTTGGGCGGTCCAGCATCGGCGGCCCCGCCCGCCACCCGTCTCCACCACCATCACCACCACACTCAACACACCAGGCAAGGAGGTGCTCTACGACTGGCAGGGGGCGGTCGCCGGCGTCGCCACCGGGGACTTTGGCGTCGCCAAGGACGGCTCCCGCAAGGCGGCCTACGCGCCGGGGGTGGACCTGGTGGCGCGCTGCACCCTGTTTGGGGAGGGGGCGCGCGGCTCCCTGTCGGAGGTGACGCTCTCGTGGGGCAAGACGCCAGGGTGGGGTGGGGTGGGGCCGTCGTCCTGGTGGATTATCCCAGTGGCAGACGGCCGGGGGCTGTGTTTGGGCCTAGTCTGGGGCAGGGAATCTCCTGATGGCACCTGAGGCCAGGCGGATCAGATTTGAGGCGGACAGCTGGGGCCTGGCCCTGGATTGTTGCTGATTCTGCACCGCCAGCCCGCCGACTGTGGCCGTCGCGAGGAGCCAGCGCCCAACCGGCCAGAGCGCCCCCGCCCCCCCATGGCCCCACTCTGCACGTTCCCTGACGTGCAAGCGGATGGCCGTGCGGCTCCTAACGGCTGCGGGGCTGTCGCCACACGGGCCTCTAAGCCCTGCAACGCCCGGCCCGCGCAGCGCCTCACACCGCTCCTCCCCCTTCTGCACCGCCCCAGACGATCATCAAGCGCTTTGGGCTGCGGGAAGCTGCCGGCGCCTGCCCCCAGACCTACGCGCTCGGCATTAAGGAGGTGCGCCCTCCTTTAGGTGTTCTGACTAATCACACCATCCTCCCGCTCCACCATGGATTGAGTTGTCATTATCGTCCTCAGCTTTTACTGCTTTGCGCCCCCGCCACACACGCATTCGCATCCTGCTTGCCTCATCGTGTCACCTCAAGGCCAGTGCACAACCACCTGCCCGCGTCTCTGCTTTTTCCAGTCCAGACCCCGCACTAGCGCGACTGCATCCCCCCTCCGCAGCCCAAACATCCAAAGCACCATCACCTGCGCACCATTCTACCAGCCCCTCCCCCATCCCCTCCCTCACCCCCACCCCC